CTCTCTCTCTCTCTCTCTCTCTCTCTCTCTCTCTCTCACACACACACACACACACACACACACACACATTGTGACTAATAATTTTAGACAGCAGTTATTAGTTATAAATTGTGTGACGTACGCTATTTCTAATTTCAAAAATGTGAACATACAATAACAAACCCTACAAACATTTGTTAAGGTATAGTTAATGATTTTTTAGTTGAAGTACATTGTAAGCTACATTACTCTCTTTTTTTTCAATAATTCCTAGTTATAACTTTCCAGCATATTCCAAGTAAAAAAAGAGTATATATGAACACACACACAAACAAATGTTTGTTTTATGCTGGATTTCCTTATCAAATCTGGAATTAATTTCAATTTGAATCCTTCTGCACAGCGGCAATCAGTTCTAGACTTCCTTAGAGGCCAACTTCCAGATAAACAAGAACAAGCTGAGGCAACAGTCTGAGATTGATGGTCCACATGAAGAAAGGCAACATGAATTCAGATGCAAATAAATGTTTCTGTATGCCACGGGACAAGTTTGTAAAATAGGCTCAGCTTAACAAAGGCATTACAATTGGAGGAAGAGGAGATCTCAGAGTAATGAATATTTTAGTCATTTCTGACACTGCAGTACCTTCCTATACCAAAGATTATGCAGCGATTCTGTCTGTGCTTTCTTATGCACCACTCTTATTTTTTGTTTCCACCTCCTTCCTTGCTTATATCTTGGTGCATTGTAACAGTAGTACTGGGGTGTTCCTTGCATCATTGTAACTAAGTATATAATAAACTGGAAACGAAGAAACATGTGCTATAGGTTGTGCATTTTGAGTTAGAACTTGATGAATACATTCCATACTGTGAAAAGTGAAATTTATAGAATATTTTTCATTACCATATTTCTTTATACTTGATGGTGCCAAATACTCTTGTGCATTCTGATTTCATAATTCCATGCATTAGAATTTTTCTTACAAGTAGTAAATAGAAGATAATTTATCCGGGTGGAGGCACAAGTATAAATTTTACTATGAATTAAAAGTAACTAGATCAATTTACCTTTGTTATAAATAGAGGTGAATTGATTGCATGGATAGATCTTGAGCTTGTTTGAAGAGAATACTAAAGTATTTGAAGAGAAAAAAATATGATTCAATTGAATTGATAGTAAACCAGTCCACAAGGGTATACACATAGCTCTGGGATAATTACCAAAATATCTCCTCAGTATTAATTGTCATAATTACAACAATTGATTATATCTTTTGCTATTCAACAAAATCTGTTCATAACTCAAGTTGGTGGATGAATTTCTGAGCTTATTATGTAAAATGGTGGAATCGTTATATGAGAAAACTTTTATAAACAAAATTGTTGACATTTTGACGGAACGTAAGAAGATATGGTCATTATCCAATTTTTCTTCGAGGAATTATTAGCTATCTTTATAGGTTTTGTCGGAAGACTTTATAATCAAATATGTTAATTGATGTCTTGATGGAATGTGGGAAGTAACGATAAGACCATCATTCAATTTTTCTTTAATGAAGTATTGGTTATCCTTATTGGTTTTGTGCCATCATGCTAACTAGCTTGAGAGTCATACTGATAGTTGATTTATTATTACAATAAAGGGTTATAGGTTCTTCACACTTCATTTTAAGATCACTCAAAGTAATTTTCATTCATAACAATTTACACACCTTGTTCCACAGTTCAAGATTTAGCCTTCGCACCATATCTTGTAAAACATTTTATTTCTTCTTCAAGTCATCAAGTGTCTACCTAAACATGCAATATTCGAAGGTGGAATTTTGGATTCCAAGATAATTTTCTCATATAACGATTCCACGATTTCACATACAACAATGGAGTGACAATAACAAAAATGATGAATATGGAAAAAGAGTGACAAAACAACTTGGGAGCACTTCAGATATCATAGAAAGAAGAAATTGGTGCACTTAAAGCAAAAAAAGAAAAAATGGCTTATAACTAAGGTGACAAGGAATAAGATACTTTGATACCAACTGGAGAAAAGAAAGGAATACTTAAATATTTGAAAAGCAAATGTATGATTAAATTGAGTTGACGAAAAATACGTACAAGAGGGTGTATATAAAACTCTATCACTGTAAAATCTCGGTAATGGATAAGAAAACCAACTACTGATAATCCAACATTTTGCAACTGTTATGCATACACATACACATGTAATGTCAACCGGTGATTTTGTTATCAATGGCTTTAGCTTTTAAAGTAGGCAACTCACTTTAGAAGAGCCAAATCCTATTGATATCTTTATTAAAAATATATATTCATAAATTATCAGTTTATGTAGAATAATTTGGCACGCTCAGACAAGCATATTGCTATAGAAATACATTGAAGAAACAAACATAAATGAAGCAAGCTCAATTTTATGTTACAAATTTCACTAGAAACCAGAATAGAGGTATTGAATCTCCTAACAGAAAAACCATCTCAAACTAATATACTTAAAAGAGAAGGTTGTCAATCAATAACAGAAGGGAACCTCATTTTTGTTTCAAACTATTAGTGGTTATCAAATTCCAAACTTGGAACAAATTACACACCTTCCATTTTCATCAACATAAAAACAACAGGCAACAGCATATTAAAGGATGAAACTTAGACGTAATTCTCAGGCACTTTTGGCATTGTTTCCCAATCTAAATTATAATTTCACCAAGAAAATCTGTGTAAGAAAGATTTAAATTAAAAAGTCAAAGTACATTATTGAAGGAAATCTTCAATTGAGATAGGAGAACAGTATCAACACCATAAATAAACACCATTCAATTCTCATCAACATCAAACAAATAGGTAACACCATGTAGTTTATTTGGCGTTTCCAGTGTTGTTTTCTAATCAAAATTAGAGTTCCATATCAACAATCTACAGAATAAAAGTTCACATTAACCTTCAAAATGATACTTCAAGTGTGATTGGATTAGAGCACCAAAGGCATAAAAAAAATTGCTTCTAAGTTTCCAATTGCACCAACTCAACCATCAAAGTCATCATCATCACTCTCATCACTGAAGTACCCGGCTTTCTTCTTCTTCTTACTCTTCGCAGCCACAGCATCGTCGTCACGCTTTCCCGTCAATAGCCTCTCATCGGCGCCGTCATCCACGACGGACGCCCAATTATCATCTTCGAACCGGGCACCGGCTCCGCCACCGTCAGAATCCTCCCCGCCGTCGTTGTTGTCATCATCGCGGTGGTGGGGCACACGACGGGGGCGTTTGGGCTCGGGGCGCTGGCGGGGGCCTAAATGATTCCGCGGGCAATCGTAGGAGAGGTGCCCGTCGGCGCCGCACTCGAAGCAGCGGGCAGTGTCGCGGTAGACGCGCTTGCGGATGAACTCGGGCGCGCGGCCGTTGTCGGCGGCGATAGAGGCGGTGAGGGTGCGATCTTTGAGGACCATCCGGTGCGTCTGCGCGGCGGCGTTGCGCGCGTCGTCGGGGGAAACGAACTGGATGAATGCGACGCCGCGGCTTAGGCGCGTGTGGCGGTCCTTGAGGACCGTGACGCGCGCGATTCGGCCAAATTTGGAGAAGAGCGTGTGGAGATCGGAATTGGTTAGGGAGTAATCGAGGTTTGAAACGTACAACGTTGATTTGGACGGTGCCAACGACGAGGATCCTTTGTTATTGGTTTTGGGATTTGAATTGGGATTTGGATTTGAATTGGGATTGTGTTGAGTAGGGTTAGGGTTTACGCTGCTATAGCGGTAGTAGAAAACGTCGTCGTCTTCGTCGCTTTCGCTCTTTTTCTTCTTCTTCCCTTTGTTTTTGGACATGATTCGATGAATGCTTCTTTCTGTTTCCTTTCGAACTTGTTTCTTCTTCTACTGCTCTAACTCACTTCTTTCTCACTTTGCTTAGTTGTTGAATTATTAATATTTTATTGCAGGGAGGATAAGGGTTTTTTTTTTCTGTAAATCAAATATCATAATAAATACTTTTAATTTTTTTTATAATTATAAACGTATTATAGTGTAATTTAATTTAAAATTTGAGATAAAATGAAGTGAATTAAAACCAGTTGTGAAAGAACTTATAAATGTGTGAACAAAAATCTAGCACTTAAAATTATAAAATGGTAATTGTGTTTCAAATTAAAAGGAAAATGGTAATTTAATTTTAAAACAGAGAAATAATATTTCAAAATTATTGACATTTTTATTTAGTAGTTACGAGAAGAGTTCAAGTAAAAAGACATATTTAAATGAGAGAATTTTAGTAGATGTACAAATTTACAAGAACTATTTAAGAAAATAAAAATAATACTAGTTATATTCGAACAATATATTTAATTTTATAAGGTGTAAGATTCCATTTATTAGACTTATGTTAGATTAAAGTAATTATATTTTAACAATTATGTATATACAAGATTATAGAAAATGGACAATTTTATTTTTTTGATAGATAAATAAAAGAAACTAAAGGAAAATTCAATTTATTGGTAAATGAGTTGGTTACGTCACATTACATTTTTTTATATTATTATAAGTGAGAAATATCATTATTAAAAAACAACATGGAGATAATTAAAGGGTTTTTCAAGTTAATTTAGAAATCGCTAAGCTTTCTTATCATAAGTTCAAGTATATTTAATTTGATTAAAAACAGAACCTAAGACATAATTCACATTTTAAAAGATTGATACAAAAACTTTAAATTTTAAAAGAAATTAATATTTGGGGTTTGTTAACTTGTGTACGCCTATTTTTCAGTTGATACATTTTAGAAATGTGTACTGGGTTTTAATAGACAAAAATACCCTATCATGGATTCTAAGTTTTAAGGTTAAGAGTATTTTAATAATTTTCATTCTCAAAACTAAAAAGTAAAAACCTTTGCTCACCTCTTCATTTCTCTCAACCATTTTTCTTTCATCTCTCTCATTCCAACATTTTCTTTGTCATTCCTACGCTAGTCCTAATTGAAAAAATCAGAAACACTCGCCTAACCCTAATCTACCTTCCTCACTTATCCAATTTGTTTCTCTCTCATCTCCATACTTTCCCTCACCCACACACAATAACCTGTGACACCACAATTTGTTGTTCTTCTCTGTTTGTTCATTTGTTTTCTAGTTTAATAACAAAATAATTGATGATGTTGATGTTGATTTTTTATTAGAGAGTTGTGTTCTATATTTTCCCTTCTAATTATTATTAAATTTGTAAAAAACTAAAATCTACAATAATTTCAAAACTACAACCTTATAAGTAAGAATATATTATTGTTTGATGCTAGAAGTTTTTTTCTTCTTCCTTTTTTATAATCAACTTATAAGTTTTTCACATTTCCTTTTTTTAAGGTTGGAGTTGCTTTGAACATTAGAAATCAAGCTGGAAAAGAGGAGAGAATGCGTCAAAAGTATCATAATCCTCTAATGAAAACGAGTTTTCCAAATTATTGAAATTATTGTAGACTTTAGTTTTTTACAAATTTAATAATAATCAGAAGGGAAAATATATAACAGAGCTCTCTAATCAAAAATCAATATCATCAATTATTTTGTTATTAAACTGGAAAACAAATGAACGAACATAGAAGAGCAACAAATTGTGGTGTCGCAGGTTGTTGTGTGTGGGTGAGGGAAAATATGGAGATGAGAGAGAAACAAATTGGATAAGTAACGAAGGTAGATTAGGGTTAGGCGAGTGTTTCTGATTTTTTCAATTAAGTGAAATAAATACATAGTTTAATTATATGATATTGATTTATTTTTAATATTTGGGACTGTTTCAAGATATTTTAGGCCTTATTCTTTTGAGTGGATTTGAGGGGATTTGAGAGGA